GAGGTGAGATGACAGAAAACGGCAGAAAATAAAAACGGCCACTGGCTAAGAGCAAGGGATTTTACCGGACTTGGTCTGCTGAAAAAAACATAATTTTTAGCTAACGTGGCAGACAAGTGTTTTGTGATATTTACAGAACTGCGGTGCCATTTAAAACGCTGTTTAGAAGTTACTGGCTCGTTCTGTGTGGGGAAAATGTGAAGATAGGTAGCTGTGAGCTCAGTTGATCTGACAGTCAGGCTGGAATCAGATGAAACTTTACTTTCAGAGATGTTTCTGTTATATTTCAAAACATACCTCATCAAAAAACACACACATTCCCCTCAAGGAGCTGTTCCCTGGTGGAGGGGGCCGGCGGAGGAGCGGAGCGTGAAGTCGCTGCCGCAGCTGTGGAGAGCCTCTGCTGCTGTTGCTGGCCATGGCAGTCCCTCCAGTGGCTGGAGGGGTGGGAGGAGGACTGTGATGTCACCAGATGGTGTACAGCAGGTGTGCCCAACCAGTCGCTCGCGGGCGACCGGTCGCCCGCGAGCTGGTTCCCAGTCTCCCGCGAAGCGAAGCCTTGACTTGTATTCTCACAGACATAGTCTCGCGAGTTTTGGGTGCGGTGACACAGTGCTCTCTCGAGACTTTAGGCTCAGTAGTTAATGTCGGTGCGCAGAAAACATGGATGGAAAATTAGCGAACAAGCAAACAAAAACTTATTATTTTCACACAGAGTGGGAGGAGGAGTATTTTTTTGTTTATTCTAATTCGAAGTCCATTTGCCTCATCTGTAATTCGAGCGTTGCCTTACCCAAAAAGTGTAACTTGGAGCGGTATTTCAAGACGATGCACAAACGGTTTGAGACAGATTTCCCTCTTAAAAGTTCTTTACGGACTCAGAAAGTGCGGGAGCTAAAAAACAAGCTTGCAGCCCAGCAATCAGTCTTCACTCGCCCCAGCACAAAAGGTAAAGCTGCTACGATAGCTTCCTACCGTGTTAGCCGCATCCTGGCTCAACATAAGAAGTCTTTCAGCGATGGACAAGTTATGAAAGAAGCGTTTATTGAGGCTGCAGATGCGCTTTTTCATGATTTTAAAAATAAAAGTGAGATCGTAGCTGCTATTAAAGACGTGCAGTTGTCCAGACAAACAGTGACACGGCGATGTGAGGGAATGGCTGTGGATGTGGAGGAGCAGCTAAAAAAGGACGTGGAACAATGTGAGTGTTTCTCTCTTCAGTTTGATGAGTCGACAGACATGGTGGATGTAGCCCAGCTGTGTGTTTTTATCAGAATGGCCTTTGCAGACATGAGTGCAAAAGAGGAGCTGCTCACCATCTTGCCTTTGAAGGGACACACAAGAGGAGAAGATATTTTTAATGCGTTTATGGAGTTTGTTAATAAAAGCAACTTGCCCCTCTTTAAACTAATTTCTATAACAACTGATGGCGCTCCAGCAATGACTGATCACACCAGTGGATTTGTTGCACTCTGCAAAATCACATTGGGATCAAATCCAGAGCATCACCTGGTGTGGATGGAGAGTTCTGGAGTCTGCTGTCAGAAGAAAAGTATCCTAACATCCGAAGATGTGCTTTGAACTTAACAGCACTTTTTGGATCTACCTACCTGTGTGAGTCTGCTTTTTCACACATGAAAATCATCAAGTCCAAAAACAGATCCACAATGAATGATGATCATCTGGAGACCTGCCTGCGCCTCGCAACCACCTCATACTGCCCATCTTATGAGACCCTGGCCTCCTCCTCTCAGTGTCAGAAGTCCCACTAAGGTAGAGACACATTTATTTTATACAGCTTGCATAAAAAGTTGTCTCCTATAGACACATCACGTTCTGTTTTATTTACTTTAAATAAGTGAGGAGTAGGGATTGATGAAAAATTATGTTAGTTGATAATGAGACTGGACGAGTAGCTCTCGGCAAATTGCCGACTTCAAAAGTAGCTCTTGGTTCAAAAAAGGTTGGGCACCCCTGGTGTCTCTGAGACCTCCTCGGACCTCTGCGATTTCTCAAGGATGGTCCTGAAGTTGGCCCCGAACAGCATTTCTGGGGTGATGGGGCCCTCCAGCAGGTCTTTCTGCAGCCTCTCGGACAAGGATGGCAAGAGGCGGAGTCAAGTGGTCCCCTGGATCATGGTCATCCAGGTGGCGATGTGGGACAGGCAGCCCACAGAGGTGGCACATGTTTAAGATGACATCAGCAGCTTTACAGAGAGAGCTCTTTGCCTCCTCCAGCAGGTCTGCTTCCTCCAGCCTCTTAAGGCTCCAGTATACTGCCGCGTATGTCTGTTCACGCGTACGTACACGTGTACGGTACACAGGGGGTTCAGTCATTAAATTCCAGCGTACACCCCGAGCAGCTGCAGAGCAGCTTCACAGACAAGGGGCGTTTACCTTTGGGACAAATTGAGGTCGCGATTGGTCATTTACTGACACGCCTACTGGACTGATTGACAGGTCGGAAAAAAGAAAAAAAGTGAACGCTGGCAATCTCCGCCACGTTCTGTGTTTATATGTTGTTAATAAAAAGATCTAAAAAATAAAAAAAAACACAGAGAGCACTAGCTCTACAGCCCACACATCAGACCAGCCCACCAGGAAATCTCCAGACCCTCCCGCAGCCACGCTGGACCTGAGTTTAATTCGCTCGTGACAAATTCCTTCATTTCTCACCATTTCAGTCGTGGCATCAACGGAGGAGGAAGAGATCACTGCCTCTTGGCAAAAAAACAAAAGAAAAGGCCAGATCAGGGATGAAGAAGGGGAATTTAATACATTGGTGTCGCATACAAAACAGTCTGTCGCTGGGCAGTTTATTGTGCGACACCGCGTACGTGTATGCGGTCATAAAAATTTGAGCTTTGCACGGACATGCCCTGGGGGGTACGCACGTACCTCTGCGTACGCACGTGCGTACCTCTGCGTATGGATGTACGCGGCAGTATACTGGGGGCTTTAGAGATGCTGTAGGCCAGCAGAGCAATGTTGTTGTTCACTGCGGCCGTCTAGAATGAGCACAGGTGAGCTCGGTTGGAGACCTTTGTCACCATCTGGTCATGCTTCTCTGGAGGGACAGGTTGCTAGTCCATCCTGGAAGCTTTTGCCCCAAGTGTCACCGCCAGGCTTGGCTCCAGGGTGGGGACCAAGGGAAAAACACCGATTGGTAAAACCCTCCACTCTGGAGATGGAGGCGAAGGTGGAGACGGATGTCTTCAGCTTGCCGGGCCCAGCTGCAGCCTCGTTCCAGTGTGACGTCACAGCTGGACAGCGAGGCCAGATAGGGTCAGGGTGATGAGCCGGGGCGGAGCCAACCTTGCCGCCAGATCATCTGATCAGGGCGGAGGGAGGCAAGGGACGGAAAGTCCCTTGTGTTAACATCCTCCTGGATTATGCCGGGGAACTCCGAGAGGAGGGCGCCAATGGCTGGGAGCGGTGTGGTCGCCGACATGGGAAGATCCGAGGTGGCTGAGCATCCACTCGGCCGCTCGTCTTCCGTCACTACATCCTCCAAGAGGGAGGGGGCAGCTCCGCATCGCCTTTCTCGGAGGACTCATTCGATTCACTGCGTGACTCTGCGTCAAAGAAGGCGGTGGCGTTGTCGCGCATAGCGTCTCGCCACAGAAAAAAACAATCAGCGGAGCTGCTGCCAACATCACCTTTTTTGAGGGAATCAGCCGATCCACCGCGAGAAAAAAACACGTTAGAAAAGGCGGTGGCGTTGTCCAGCAAGTAGCGGCCCTCCACGGAAAAACATTCAGCGGGGCTGCTGCTAACATCACCTTTTTCGAGGAAATCATTCGATTAACGCAAGGAAAAAACATTAGAAAAGGTGATGGTGTCGTCCAGCGGGTAGCGGCCCGCCACGGAAAAGCACTCCTCGACGCTTACCTTAAACAAGGCTACTCGTCTCTGCTTCTCCTCGGAGGAAGAGCTCACCGGGATGGCAGGAGGTTGGCGTGGCGGAGATCCAGGCATCCTTAGCAAAGGTTGTGCCAGTCAAGCTGAACAACTTTTCCTTCTTCGTTCTTCTGACAGTGCTAGCTAGCTAGCTGAAGAAAAAAATGGGAGTCGATTACCCGGTCTCACCATAATTTATACGGACCGTGCTCAGTGCTGCATGCGAAGGGATAAACCCACTAGCGATAGCCTTAAAGGGCGAAGCCTATACAAAATAGAACTGGAGACAACAGTCGAAAAAAAGGTGCAAAAATGCAAGCAGTATAGTTAAAAAAATAAAGTATATCAGGTAAATAAAAAACCCACATACTCCAACTCCTAACAATTGGCATGAGATCTGAAGATCTTGTCATGTCACACTTAATATTATTCACAGATTTGACCAGAACAGCTAAAACAATATCATTGTTCAGAAGCAAAACCAGACCTTTAATTTATGTTAATTAAATGTGTGCAGTGAAATATTAAACAGTTTTAAAAAGATATTCTAAACTCAACTCCTTTCTCTGTTCAATGTTATTATTCTTTTCAACTTTTCTGTGATTACACACAGCATATTCCTGCTCTGGTGTAATGAACAGACTCAGCTGCCTCAGATGCAGGTAAAATAATCCACAGATCAGTCTTTTCCCATTTTTCTTCAATCCTCACAATAAGGTCACATCACTCAATACGTGCCGTTTCATGTTCTCATCTGGCGCTGCAGGCTTTATGTTAATTCAATAAGCCACCACATGCGTCCTCCTGGGATCTGTCTCACACGTGGCATTCGTGGTTTGACGCTGTAAAAATAGCTTCAGTGTGAGAACAGCTCCGACTGCTCCCTGTAAATCCTCCAAATCATCCTATAGGCGTCCAGAACGCCACCTGCTGTGCTCCATACAGACACTCGTCTATTGCCATGCACGAATATGATCAAAGCCAGAATGTAGAATTGGTCATTAATGTCATGTGATGTTTCTTTCAGCGATCGCCACACTGTCGACCCTAACTCAATCACTTCTCCTTGTGACCCCTGCTCCCCCCTCCTCCTCCCACCAGATGGACAGCAGCCTTCAGGAAGGCCTGAAGAAGAGGAACCACTCCATGAGCAACAACGTGCCTCACCTGCTCATTTTCCTCCAGCAGGGTTCGGCTGTTCCTCAGTTCCCACAGCTGGCAGGAACGAGCCGGATCGACGTCTACGCCCGTGTCCTCTTCCCTCTGACCTTTGCCCTCTTCAACTTGGTTTACTGGTACATCTACCTGACCAAGGACACCACGCCAGGTAAACATCCCTCTCATTTTTACGTCAACGCAGCTACTTATACGCTAATGTGCAAAGGTTTTGATACACCTCATCAAAATGTGTACTCTAAACCAACTAATTAACAACATTCAAGACTTTTAACCGTTTCTAAATATGTTCTGTAAGAATGCAGTTTTGTTTTCAGCTACTTAAAGGGATTTAAAAAAACAGTTTAAAAGTCTTGAAAGAAAGTTTTCAGTACTTTGTAACTTTTTGTCCCAACGGCATCAGAATTGTTCTTTTAGAGATGCTTTCTGGTTTGTCTTTAGATTTTCATGAGAAGTTCAAACTGCACAAATCCGTCGGTTTGCACTTCATTGTTTATTGTAGAACCTGAGGTGGGTTTAAGAATTATTTCTGCTTTAAAATACCTTATTTTAACAAAGAGTTGATTAGTCATTTATATTCAGTCATGAGGTGCACAAACCTGTTTTACTGTCACCAAAGTGTTAATTGTGTCTGTTGTCTACACCCAAACCATAATCACCCACCTTCGTGTTCAACAGATGGATCAAAACCATTTTTTCTCCATGATGTGACTTTACTGATGGAATGAAAAATATTTGAATGAACTTGACTAGAGAAATTGCATTACTTGTAAACATGCATTGTGAATGCTTATTGCTGATTACGTTTTGTTGAAAGCTGCTGAAGAAGCTGAAACAGCTGAAAAGGTTTCATTCCTAAAATGTTGGCGTGAGCTGAATTTGAACAGATGATATTGCTGACAGCTGGATAATAAAAGCAGAAAAGAAATGGAAGAAACGTGTGGAAAAAGCGGAATAGAGCAGAATTATAGCAGAAATGAGCAGAATAAACTGAAATTAGCACAAAAAAGAAGAAAATAATGAAATTAGCTTAAAAAAGTAGCTGAAAAGGCAAAAAAAATATATATATCAGAAAGATGCTGAAATGACTGTGAGCATAAAAAGTTGAAATTATTAGAAATAAGCACAAAAATCAGAAATGAGCAAAATAAAAGCAGAAAAATGGCAATAAACTGTAGCTGAAAAAGCAGAAATTAGGAGAAAAGGCTAAAATGAGCAGAAATAAGCTGGAAGAACCCAAAAAGGCTGATTTTAGCACAAAGAAGCTGAAAAAGGTAAACCAGAACAAAATTTGAAATGAGCAGTAAAAGGTTTTAAACAGCACAGAGGATCTGAAGGATGTGGAGAGAGCTCCATTCAGTTTCAATAAAAATAAAAAAAAATTAAAAAAACTTTTGAAAAAGCAAAATATTTCAAAGAGTAGAAGGTGCTCAAATATCTAAAGCCATCACAGGAATGTCCTGAACGAGCTGGACATTTTGATATATGAATCACTGAAATAAAACAAAAATTGCAGAACGAGTTACGTGCTGAAAAATATACATAAGAAAAATGTTTCTCATGAGTGTGAATGCTTAAAAAACGTTCACAATATTTTACTAAATGTTGCTGCACAAGAAAAGAATTGATCGTTATTTCAGTCTGTGGAATCTTTTATTTTTCATAGTTAAAATAAGACTTATTAATCCCACGATCCTCTTTGGGTTTTCATCAACTTGACCTTCACTGCTGAATTTTACTGACCTGAAACCACTTCTCTGTAACTTCATTGCTGGATTCATTTTTTAACACATTTTATAAATAAGTCAAAGGTCTAAACAACTAAAAGTCTGAAATTGAATGGTTTTATGTCCTTTTCTTTTAGCCCAATTTTTTTAAAATAAAATATTTCATGGAAATAATAAAAGGCTGTGGGCGCCACGGTGGCGCAGACGGTAGAGCTGCCGCCTCCCAGCAAGAAGGTTGTCAGTTCAAATCCAGGCCGGGAGGCCATTCTAGGTGGAGTTCACATGTTCTCTCCATGCATGCGTGGGTTTTCTCCAGGTACTCCAGTTTCCTCCCACAGACCAAAAACATGCATGTTAGACTGATTGGTAACTCTAAATTGTCTGTAGGTGTGAGTGAGAGTGAATGGTAGTCTGTCTCGTTTGTCCCTGTGATGGGCTGGAGACATGTCCAGGCCAGGATGTAACACCCCCCCCCCCCCCCCCCCCACACACACACACAGTGACTGCTGGATATAGGCAGTGACCCCGTGAACCGGAAAAAAACGAGGGTAAAGATAATGGATGGACGGATGGAACAAAAGTTTGTGTCCAACTCTTTGCAACACTCAAGATCATAAGTGTGGTTAGGAATATTTGTTTCTTTTCAATAATAATGGAAGTTGATAAAAAGGTTGATCTTTTTTCTGATAACAGATGTTAAATGCAGCCCCTGCTTGTAAGTGAAGCCCTTACAGAGCAGGAAGCTTCATGTTCAAGAAGGAAAATGAGAGCTGGAGTGCAAAAAGACCACAAGAGGGAGAGAAAGAGAGGTCCGTTATGTAACACAGAGGAGTGGAAATCTGTTCATCATGCTTCTCATGTTCCTGTCAGGGAATGTTAGGGCTCTTTTGTTTATAAGATTGTGCAGGATAAGATGAGGGCAGACATTTGTTTCTTTTATATTTTCTGTATAGGTTTTTACCTTTGAAGGCAGTGAGGATGAGGAGGATGGGAACTTATAAATGTGTGCCACGCTCACGTTTGCTCTGCTCTGCTCTTGCAGGAAAATGAATCTTGGAAACTAAGAAGACTCTTGAGAGGGGGCACATGCAACCGGGGCTATCAGAAAGACCTCCATCTACCAAATTCTCAGCATTCATTCTGCTCCCATTGGATTGAATCAGAAACTCATTTATACTCTTCATTTCACAGACAGTGACCGCTGCCCACTCGTGTCCCGATCAGGGGTCGACGAGACATCCGACCTTCACAGGGACCCCTCGGTCACTTTAAACCCCAACCGCTGCACGGCGACTTCTCAAGTCGAGACAGTCGCTGCCACACAAGCAAAGGATGCTCAGAGGCACGCTCAGAGACCGAGAACTGCATCTGAAAAAGACGGAGATGATATAATCTGTGATGGCTGTAACTGGTGGTGATGCAACAGTGAACCAATGCTTTCAGAGGCCTGCCCTCTAAAGAAGCACAGCTCCCTCTACAACCACATCAAAGCCAGTTCCTCTCCTCTTACTGCTTCAAAAATACACTCAGCGCAGGCAGGCTTAGTCAGTTTGAGACATGGGGCCCTCCACTTTTCGTTTTTATTGCTTTTTAAACTCGTGATATATTGTATAGCATTATTGTTTGTTGCCACATTTCATATCTTGGTTCATCTGATCTCTCGATATGCAGTTTCTGTCTCAGACTGGGTCATGAGGCCACATTTATGATGTATTCAATCTATGTCCAGTGAATATTGTAGAAATGCGACACTTGCAAAATAAATCACAAACCATTGGACAGATTTGTCTGAAACTCCCAGAAAGTATGCGAGTCAGCTCAGTTGAAGATGGCTGCCACAGCTAATCAACCTTAGCTAACACAATTTTGAGGTGTTTTAATAAAACTTTATTAGCAATTTCCAGGATTGCAACTTTGATATCTAAAATGAAATTATGACTGGTGACGACTGTAGAATCTGAATGGTGAATGGTAAGGTTTCTATCCACTATCCATGATGTTTGTATTCAGGTGGAAAGCCATATCCCAAGGACGGGAAAGAGAAGTCACAGGTTTTAGGAAGAATTAGCATTTTGTTTCTGGGAGCGTGAATGCTGCGTAAACACTTCTATACATTGTGCTATATGTTAGTAATTTGTTTATCAAAATGTTTAGCTCCTAAACTTTAGGTTTTTGTAACTATTAAATTTTCAAAATATTTAACTTTATTTACAAATAGTCAATTTATAATATATATTATAAATGAATACGATATATTTTGTAAATCAAACCTCAAAATAAATATGAGGCTCGATTTACAAATCGATTATATTTTAGATTGAAAATATATATAAAAAATTATAATAATAAATAAAATAAAATAATAATAAAATAATGGATGGATACAGGGCCGGATTTAGGAGGATGGGGGCCCCTGGGCTGGAGTCAATATATGGGGGCCCTATATATATATATATATATATATATATATATTTTTTTTTTTGTATGTGTTTGTCTTGTTTTAGAGGATGAGCAGAAAATGACCGAACAGTAAGTTTGTACAACTTACAACTTTAATAAGCCAGTTGTCACAAACTACAAACAACTCTGAACTCTTTTCTAGAAAGACTAAACCACATGTTACCATACCAATTTATTTATAAAGCACTTTAAACAGTGACAAAGCACACCAAAGTGCTGTACAGGGACAAACAGAGCAAGCACATAGCAACAGATTACATAACAGGACACCAAAAAGTAGAAACCGACAAAAACAATAATGGATAACAACAACAACCGCAACATGACCAACACAGTGTGATGCACACAGACTCAGCACAGATCACACAGTGCAGAAAGCCAGGGAATAAAAGTGTGTTTTTAAGTGAGATTTAAAAACTGTAAGGGAGGGGGCCTGTCTAACGAGCAGAGGTAACTCATTCCAAAGTCTTGGGCCTGCTACAGAGAAGGCCCTGTCGCCTCTGCGCTTGAGACGGGTTCCTGGGACTGTTAGGAGCAACTGGTCTGCTGATCTGAGAGAACGTGGTGGGACATACGGCTGGAGCAGATCAGTAAGATAGGAGGGGGCAGAGCTGTTTAGTGATTTATAGACAAACAAGAGTATTTTGAATTTGATTCGAAGGTGAACCGGAAGCCAGTGTAGGGAGGCCAAAACAGGTGTAATGTGCTCCCTTTTGCTTGTGCTGGTCAAAAACTGGGCTGCTGCATTTTGGACCAGTTGGAGTCTAGCTATGGAGGTCTGACTGATACCAAAAAGGAGTGAGTTGCAATAGTCGAGCCTGGATGTAATGAATGCATGAATTACTGTCTCCAGGTTATTTTTGGACAATATGGGCTTCAGCTTAGACAGTCGCCTCAGCTGGAAAAAGCAGGATTTAACAATCATATTTACATGATTGTTGAGTTTCAGAGAAGGGTCAAGTATCACTCCTAGATTAGTGACTCTTTGTTTCACCAACGGTGACAGAACGGATAGGTCGATGCAGTGGTTGGTGATTGTGTCATTGGGAGGAAACAGCATAACTTCAGATTTCTTCTCGTTGAAACTCAAGAAATTTAAAGCAACCCAATCTCTGATGTCAGCCAGGCAGTCCAGTAACGGTTGAATAGAGCGAGTATCGTTGAGTCTGAGGGGGAAGTAGATTTGGCAGTCGTCTGCGTAGAAATGAAAAGGTATGTTATGTTTCCTGAAAATAGCACCTAGTGGCAGCAGGTATAAAGAAAATAAAAGAGGACCAAGGATGGACCCTTGCAGTACCCCCCATTTAAGCGCTGCCGAGGCTGAACTAAAATCTTTGATGGAGACACAAAAGGACCTGTCAGCGAGGTAAGATCTAAACCATTCGAGGGCTGACCCAGTGATGCCCACCCACTGCTCTAACCTCGCAATGAGGATCTCGTGGTCGATTGTATCAAAGGCAGATGTGAGGTCCAGTAAGAGAAGGAACACAGAATCACCAGCGTCTGTGAATAGGAGAATGTCGTTAAAAACCTTGAGTAGAGCAGTTTCAGTGCTGTGGAGAGGTTTAAAGCCAGACTGGAATAGCTCTAAGATGGCATTATCCTCTAGAAAGCATTTCAGCTGGGACTCCACTATTTTTTCCAGCAGTTTAGCGACAAATGGGAGTCTGGAGACAGGCCGGAAGTTGGACATGACTGAGGGGTCAAGGCTAGGTTTTTTCAGGAGAGGTTGGACAGCAGCATGTTTAAAAGTTATTGGCACCACACCTGAGGCTAAGCTGCTGTTCACAATGCCAAGAACAGGAGGGCCCAGAACAGGAAGAAGCTCCTTAAGGAGTCGAGGGGGGACAACGTAAAAAGGGGAGCCAGATGGCTTCATGCCGCACATGACCTGCTCCAGGGAAGACAGAGAGATGGGCTCGAAGTGGTCCAGAACAGCAACACAATGAGATGGGATGGACGGATCATGAGCAGGTGGAGAAATGAGTGCCCGGGTGTTTGCAACTTTTTCAGAAAAGAAACGGAGGAAGTTTTCACACAGCTCAGTTGAGGTTGGGGTTGAAACATCATATTCTAGTTTTTTTTCATATTCTATGATTTTTTACAGCCCCCTGTTCTCAATAAAAGCAGAGGTGGGTGCAAATGAACAATTTCCATCTTCTAGACCAAGGTTTTTTTTACAGAGAACATCTTGAAAAATATGAAGAACAAAATACAGATTTCCATTTATTAATGACACTTCTGCATTCATCTTATTTGGAGGAACTAGAACCACAAACACGACCTACATCTCAAAACAGCAGTTAACACTATTAACTCCAACCAAATTCAGGGTATGTGCAGCACATGGAACCCATTCAACTAGTGGGTTGAGTTCTTTCATACGTGCTTGTAGTCCTTTATATACTCCTGACATGTTGGCAGCATTATCATAGCATTGCCCCCTGCTGTTTGCAATGTCAATCCCCATCTCTTCCAAAACCTTGAGTACAGACGCACATAAAGCTTCCCCAGTATGACTTTCAATTGGTAGAAACTTCAGAAAGCATTCCTGCGAGTGTCCTTCAGGTGACACATATCTTAACACAAATGTTAACTGATCAACATGTGCCACATCTGGCGTGGAGTCAACAGAGACTGAGAAGTATTTTGCCATTTTTACTTCACTCACTATTTCTGATAGAACACGATCACCCATCAGCTGAATAAATTCCTCATGTTTGGGAAGAAAGATATGAGGGTTTCCCTGAACCTGCATTTCCATATTTCTCTATGTGAGACTTCAGAAAAGGATCAAACTCGCTGATTAACTCCAGTATTCCCAGATAATTCCCATTATCAGTTCGGCCAAATATGTCACTGGCTCCTCTAAGAGCCAGTCCCCTCTCTGCTAAAAACTTGACAACAGACACAACTCTTCTCAACACTTCAGTCCAATATGAACACTCAGATTCAAATTGTTTCTGCAGTTCTGTGTCTATCCTCCCGCTGGTTGCTGCAAGTGAAACATGTCAGCATTGTTTTTCTATGTTGTTCGCTGTTTTCGTGCTCTTTCATGCGTACAGTTGCGTGCTTCCAGTCACTGAACCCAGTTTCAAAGCTTGACGGAGTATTAGCATTACTGAAAATGCGGCATGCAAAACAAAACGCAGCTCCGGTGGATGGAGAGTAGAACAGCCACGGTCTTTCGATGTACTCACCATTTAACATCTTGCGTTTAAAGTGAGATTTGGAGAAGTGACGCTTTTGATGCTTGTACACCCGTTCCGATGCTTGAAAGCTAACATTCATATTTTGACAGCTCTCCGGTCCTCGGTCAGCCCAGTAAGCCCGCACGGACTCGTCAATTTCCCCCCAATGCGCAGGATCGGTACTGTACGGATCCACAGTCGTCTTTCCATCTGCCGAAGAAGATCCTGCTTCCACCGACTCTGACTCCACAGACGCCAGTCCAGCCACCGACTCAGTCACGGTTAAAGGTTCTGGCGGGATCGTAGTGCCGGTGTTAACAAAGCTAAGGGTTTGAGGAGCGGGGGGTAATGATGTTTCTGATCCATCTCCGCTAACAGGTTTAAAAAAGCCTGTCAGTTTAGGCATTTTGTTTGTCGCCTCTTTGTCGCGATGCTTTTTCTTTTCTCTTCCTTCTTTTCTGCGCTCCGCTGTCATATTTTCTGTTGTCCGCCATTGTAAAATAATATTCCCTGACGCTCCTCCCCAATGCGTAAGATGCGTCAAAAGTGGACCAATAACAAGCAAGCATTCAAGATGGACGTTTGCCAGAACAAATTGGAACATTTTTCATCGGTGCTGTCAAAATCATCATAGTCATTGATTAAATTCTGACACTATCCATTCACAAAAACATAAAACATCCTTCGGGGCCCCCGAAATGCTGGGGCCCTGGGCTGCAGCCCCGGTAAGCCCCTGCTAAAATCCGGCCCAGGATGGATAAATATAC